AAAAAAAAAAAAAAAAAAAAAGAAAAACCCTCCTCAACACCCGACAAACAGCTCCAACACACCACTGCACGAGACGAGAGCCGAAGACGACACTCCCGAGACATGCCATAGCCTAGGCCAAAAATCGAGATACTCCCTTCACCAGTTGATGACGGCTAATATAGACCACCCCCAAAGGAGTCAAAGACCCAACTCGTAGCTGCACCCAGAAGGTCTACTCCAACCACACCCCCCCTCAACCCCGACTAGAGCCCTGGAATCGAGCTGAGAAGGCTCTCGTCGGAGAACATGCTCATCCCAACTCCAATGAGAGGAGTCGACGTCGACCATAATCTCACCCGGCATAAGACAAACGAGAGGGATATGTTGCTCTATCCACTCCGCCAAAGAGACGACTGAAAACATCACCACAGCTGCCCAATACAAGGGGAAGTGTCGCTTCGGAGAAGATGACCACTGCAATGTCAAAAAGGGCGAAAGCCACGCACGAGCCGGTCATCTCCGCAAAGGATTGGAGCAGTCGGCTGCGAAGAGGCGGCAAAAAGGTTGCTGGAGACGAGAGTTTCTTATGTTGAGCTTTGATTCTATTGAAGCTTTTTTGCATTTCTATTAATCTTAAACAGACCTCTGTCTACCTCTCAACAAGTGAATTGAATTGGGATTGAACAAAGTTAAAAATCTAATCTAATGTTAGTAGCGCTAGACTAGTTGAGTAGCAGTTTTTCAATCTAGGACTCTGATTTGCTGATCTCTTTTAGTTTTTCGGTTGTGGAGTTGGATCGTTATAGGGTATGGCCCCTGTGCTAGTTCGTGTCGCCCTAGCGGTGTGCTCGTGAGATGCAGGAGATATAGTATTCTTTTGTTAAGTGTGTATTGTTATTTTATGCTTGTTTTTCTTCAGTCTTTTAGTTTTCAGTCAAACTTATCTCATTTTTAGTCTCCTTTGTGGAGTTCTTTTGTCTCTTTTTGTAAGAGTGCGTTCGAGTGTTTTTGTTACTCCACTTGATTGATTGCGTATTCCCATAAAGAGGTGTATCCAGACTCTGTTATGGTTCTTGTGATGTCAGTTGACGTCTCAGTTGTACTCTATTTTGGAGTTTTAAGATAATTAACATTAGAAAAAGGCAGATTTTATTTCCAAACATGAGAAAATTTAGTTATTTTAGCTACTTAAAACCTTAAAAGCTGAAATAGCTAGCTAATTTTTTTTTTTATTTTTCATCACAATCATGTATTAAATTAATTATGATTGTGCAGAGTGAAGATATTGAAAATTGTAAGTTCATGTAAATACATATAAATTAAGTGGAAACAATTTAACAAAATTTTCTTTAAGGAAATTTTGCTACCACTCGGAACTATTTCACCGGTAAATGAATGCACAAACTTAGCCTAGTTCAAATTTACAAGAATATAACTCTCTTGGAAACCTATGGACCATACACTTCACTTCTCTAGCTACTTTGCTTTTCTAGACAAGACGAAAGTTAGAAGCTTATATTTGATCCTTCCAAGACAAATGAACACTTCTCTCAGGTGTCAGTAAGATAAAACAGAAAAATTTCAGTAAGGTAATACCAAATTCTGGAATAGATTCTATGGCCCCTCCATAAGAGTTCGTCTGTCCAAGTGAGATTTGAAATCCACGATAAAATTTTTTTTTGTATTTTTAACCAGCAGACACCAACTCATGCGATTTACTTCCCGTTTAACCATGTTGCTCTCTATCACCACTTTATCATCTTCCGCGACCTCTATTTTTTCATCTCCTCAACCAGTCGAGCTAAGTCGATTGGATCCATGATAGGAGTACACATATGCCACTCGAGACTCGAATTGGCGAGATTCACTGCCCACATCAGAAACGCTAAAGAGGTGATTTGTAAAGATTTAAAAGTGATCAAAAGTTACTACGTGGGTCTAAGGTGATCAAAACTAGTACATTGGGTGGGTCTAAACGGGCCAGCCCACACGGGCAGCAGGCTAGGGCAGGACTGGACCGTCAATTATTCAAAATAAAAACAAAAATGTATAAATTACTAAATTCTCTAACTCCTCATTCTCATTCCTTAAGCATCTACATTGCTCGGAGTCTAATTTTGCTTATGTGACATGAAATAGACTCAAGGCTTGAATGACATAGATAGAGCGATATAAATTTAATACAATTCACTCCAGTGCAAAAAGACTTAAAAGCTTGTACTTGGGTCTATAATAGTCTTAAGGGTAGACTGTGTCTCTTTTTTTTGTTGTCACATCAACACGACTCAATCCACTTGCAATTGGATTGGAGAATATATTTTTCTTGACATATCCTACGTGGCATTTAAATTTTTTTAATAACCCCAAAGCATTGTAAATGTTTCGATAGTAAAAACAAAAAAATTACATTTGTCAATACGAAGCGTAAACTTATGTCAAATAGCTTACGAAGCATACGATCCTGTCACTTAGACTCAATTTATTCAAAAAGTATATATAAAGGCTATTTTATTATTTAACACTAATTAGCTTAATAGTAAATAAAATTCAAATTAAGAAAATCATTATAATTTTGGTTTTTTTTTTTTTTACTATTACTAAAGCACAGGTTTGAGTCACTTAAAATATGGCAAGAGATTGCCCCTATATATAATTCCCGAATGCGCTGAGCCTACGTGGCTGCTTCTGGTGCTTCGGAATCCTACTTGGCGAAGAATCATGCTTCGTAATTAGGTTCGAACAAATAATATTGATATACTAGTACAACACCCGTGTATTACACGAGTACTTGTTAAAAAATTATTCTTAAATTTTAAAATTAATGAGAAAACTATATTAAATTTAGTTTACTTTTTTACAAAAAAAATATATTGCTATATCTTTTACAATGATATGTGTTACTTATGACTTACATGTGTTATATTATATTAATTTTTATAACTTATATCATATAACTACTTGAAATATAAATATATTAGTTGATAAATAATTTTATTTTTATAATTAATATTAAAAATAATTTTATTATTGTTATAAAGATAAATATAAATTATTTTTTATACATACAATATGGATGTTAAATCGAAACTCATCAAAAGAAGATTAATTTGATATATTACATATGTAAAACTGATAAAAAATACAAAAGTTATTAACTTTTAAAATATATATACAATTCAATAGTTATAATAAGGAATGATATTAAAATACAATTAATACATGTAACATGACCATAAATAATCAACATATTTATGGTAATCCGAACCTAATTATTTTTTGTTTGGAATTAAATTAAAATTTACCCAAGCCTAGCTATAACGAAGCATGTAATTTTGCCACATAGGATTCAGAAGCACCAGAAGCAGCCACGTAGGCTCAGCGCATTCTGTATTAATATATAGGGGGGATTAATAATTAATATCTAGGTTCGGACATTCCATAAATATTATTTAGCTAACTTAGGTATTTTAATATCACTTGTACTAATATAACCTTTTAATTATTTGAAATTTTACATAGTAAGACACTAAGTGACTAATATATTCCTGACTTTTGATTTGTTTCCTTCAATTAGCTATTGAATTATAAATGTATTTTTAAAAGTTGATAACTTTTGTATTTCTTATCGGTTTTACATATATAATATATCAAATTAATCATCTTTTCATGATCTTCTATTTGACATCCATATTGTATATATAAAATAAATAAATAATATTTACCTTTATAATAATAAAAAATAATATTTATTAAATTTTATTAGAAAAATATAATTATTTATCAGTTGATATATTTTTGTTTAATGTAGTTATATGTTGTAAGTTAAAAAATTATTATAATATAACACAAGTATGTCACACAAATAAAAGTGTCATACTAAATATATAATAATATATATTTTTATAAAAGTTATTTAAATTTTCAACTACTTTTTCTCAATAATTTTAGATTTTAAGGAAAAAATTAGCAAGCACCAATGTAATACGCGGGCGTTGTACTAGTGTAAATATAAATCAGTAAAACCTTTCATCTACTTAAGTTACTTAACTAATCACGAGCTTGGCATTATAATTTAATTGGTAGACCAATTTTTCGGCTGAAGAATAAGATTGACATGAGTTGGGTGTGTAATAAACTAATAAAAAGCATGTCAACTAAGGCATGTTCTTTTTATGTAATTATGAAAATAGCTTTATACATAAAGGGATATTTATTTAAATAAAATTAATTAGTTGTAGAAAATCATGTTTTTCTATAAATAAAAATGTTCTAAATCAAAAGGAATTGCAAAATATGCTAAAAATAAATAGAAGGTGAGTATTCATTCCAAAGAAAAAGAGAGAAAATAAATAAATAAATATATATATATATATATATATATATATATACACACATACATAAAACCCAAAAACACCATAATTACATTAAATTGACCCCATTTGACAAAAAAAATAAAAAATAAAAAAAATTACATACCACAGTCTAAACATATTTGAAGTTTTGAAAAACACTTGGATAGGCTTTTAAGGAGATTTTGGACACATTTTCTATCAAATACTTCAAATTTCCAAGTCTAATTTTGAGTAGTTTAGCTAACTGTACGTTTTCATAGACTTCAAATTGGGTTTCTTTGGTTATCTACTCATATTTATTGCAAGCAAAAAATAAATTAATAATTGTAATAAAATTCAGAAAAATGCTAAGATCTCGTTACAAAATCATCTCGATCATCATGTAACCGTTAGAAATAGTTGATCTAACAATTACAAATCCCGACAGAATATTTGTGTAAAGCATCTTCCTAAAATTCAACACCATGAACTGGCATATTTTGCCTAATTGGCGTCACCTATTATTATTGTACCAAACGTTTCCACGAGTGCCCAATGATGAAAAAGGTAGTGCTGCCAGCCCATATTGATTCACATTTTCTCTTATAATGTTTCCTAAATCATTTTTGCCCCATTCAAAATCTTCCTCTACTTTAGCTGATAATATGCATACCCCTCACGTTTTACATAATTGCAAACAGGGTCGGCCTTTATTAAATATCATACTATTGTTTATGATTTTTTTTTTTTTAACTTGTATGAAAGTATGCATATTTGTTAGTAGCCAACCTAACTGTTAGTACAAATTTTGTGTGAGACAACTTCATTAACGTAGACCGACCAATCATACTTTACAAAAATAAAAATGCATACTTATACTATTAAATATCATACTTCTGTTTATAATGTTTTTTAAAGTATGACATGACATCTTAGAATGAAAGTATGCATATTTGTTAATAGACTGTTTCAAAGTATAACGTGACATCTCGTAATGAAAGTATGTATATTTGTTAATTGAGTATATCGACCTAATGGTTAGATCGACCTAGCACAGGACCTACCGCATCATTATTATGCAATGTTTTTACCTTTCCAAATTATATTTTCCACCAAAAAAAAAAA